ATTTTTATACTTTTCAGAGTATTTTTACATCTTTGTTTGTTTCCAGAGCTCTCACCCCATTTTTAGAAAGTTCAGCTCAAAACTCTAATTTTGCACTTTTAGACCTATTGCAAAGACTCAGTCCTTCACTTTTTCTCCTCCGATGAGTAATCCCCATGTATCATTTATTTTTCTATTGATGATAATGGAACAAACTACCAAACAGAAAAGTTATGGACATAATTAAAAATAATGGGATAATGCAAAGTGACTTCCATCAATGCTATCAAAACCCCACTGTGGACTTTTAATGGTGGAAGACACAACAAAGTAGAACGACTTTAAAACAATAATTCAGTCGCAGATCTTTATAAGATTACTCTGACTCCCCTTTCCTGTTTCAGTTGCATTCTTGACCCTGCCTTTCAAACTGCAAATCACTGTGGGATTGTATAGAATTTTGCATAATGGCAGCGCTACCTTTCACAGCTGAAATATGTCCATATACATAATATGGTAGATATGCAGAACGCCTCTGCTTTCCTACAGTGCATGCACGTGCTGTAAAAATCTATACAAGAATTCCCTGGACTTGCTGAATGTGTTGATCAAATAAGCAAAAAGTTTGATGGCTGCTGACAATGTTCGGGTATGTGGTGCACACAGAGTAAGCCAAACACATTCCTATTGTGCTGTATCTACTGTGCAGGAGCAGACCAGCATGCTCAATGCATGATGCTTCTTGGATGAGATGCAATCATCACATATGATCACAAGCCTGCACAGAATCAAGAGATGTGTCCAGGATTGCCAGGTATTTGGAAATCCTGGACAAATATAAAAAATCCCAGAATTAGTCATAGAAAAATGTTCTACTGGAAAAGGAAGATGCTCATAGAAATCCACATGTACAATAGCTTTGACAACGGGAGTCCTGGCCAGCCGAGATCTACGTTTACTAGTAGGGAAGTAGATAAATAGCTTTTTAACATCCTAGGGTGGTGAATCACAAAAAAGTCACAACTATCACCCAGTCTGTTCTTGATCTTCATATTTAGAGGAGATGGAAATAGGCCTCAGAGTAATTCTTCCATCTTATTTTCATTTGGATTGTTCAGTGCTGCAATTTATTTCCGTTAGTAAAAGCCTGCAGAACTCGCTGCCCATACTAGTATCACTGCAGTGCTGCTGGAGGCACAGAACAGAAGAATATCTGGCAGTAGCTGGCTCTCAAGACTCCTAATTTATGTGATTTATCACCTAGCTTGCCAAACAGCCCAATCAATTAAACTCTACAAGGCACAACCTCCTTTTTTCTCTGTTAACATTCTTGCAGGAGAACAAATACTATTGTTGCAATGCTCACACTGGTCTCAGGACTTTTCATTCCAGAGAGCTTTATGGATGCTGGCAATGCAGCATCCTATTCCCAGTTTTCATAGTGCATTACAGCCCATTAAGGATGCAAGCAAACGTGGATTCAAACACCAATGCATGCATACCTAGGAGGATACCTCTTCATAGGGTATCTGTGGCTTTCTGTAAAAGATCCTTATCAGATGAGCTGGCCAGAGAACCAGAGATTCAGGAAAAGACTTAATCACGAGTATAACCTCAGGCATGCAAGAGAAATCAATGAAGCTGCTGCTGAAATGAAGCATGTGTATAGGTGCCTTGCCAAACAAGGCCTTGAAAAAGCTTCAGATACTTTGTTTTCAGCATAGAAGGATGCCTCATTTTCCTGCAGCTGGTTTTCCTCTCATGAGTACCTGTGGGAACTAAATATTTATGGATCCTGTGCCTTGCAGAATGCAAAACCAGGAGCAGAGCTGCTGAGCCCAACTGGGGAGCAGTAGTAGAAGACAGCACTCATGTGCTTTCCCAAAGGCCTGACAAAACATCATTATGAAGCTGGGGATGAGTAAAGAAATAGGTCATAGTAGAACATGATGAAGTATCAGTGTGTTGCCAAATTTGCTTGCCCGTTTTTCTAATTTCAGCAAATGGATGGCTACAAGTGCTGACTATGAAGTTACAGCAAGCAGAACTCAGTAAGACTTCTCCAACACCATAGCTGCTGGGCAGCCCACATGTGTGTTTTAAAACCGCCATAGTGTAAGCTGATGGCAAATTTCATGCTGATCTCCAGGGGTGCTGGGTCTTACTGTGGCACTGCACAATGCCCAGCCATTCTGGGATGCCAGGGTTGTCATCTTCCAAACACAGACTAACAGCTGAACCTAATCTAACTGGACAAATGCATTTTCCCAGATTCCTTCGCAGAATCAGGGAGCTGCAATTAAGACTGCATTAGCATTTCCTACTTTTGAAGCTTCAATCATTTGTATTAAAGACATCCGTAGCAAGCAGCAATTTGGCACACAGAGGAAAACTTGGAGAAAAAACCAGCTCTCACTGCTAAGTTTTAGTGTAAAGGTCTCACTGATTTCAGCTACACAGGAAGAGGCCCAGCATTAGCTGCTTGCTTCTGGTAGCTTAAAACCAATGGTAGGGCTGAAAGATTATTTTTTCCTAACTTATTTGCTGAGCACTTGAAAGACATCCTTGTTTGCAGAGCAAGCAGAAGTTTTATGGCCTGGCTAATGAGGTTTTACATATCTAAATCCCAGCAGCCGTGCCTCCTTGCTGCAAGATTGATGCACTGCTTTGGCTGGAACTTCAGGTACACCTTTGAAGTCCATCAGTACTGACATCAGTGCCTCCAATGAGAAGGTCTATAAAGTGACACGTGCACAGTATCTCAATGACAGTGCCAAGGAGACAGATGACAAGTTCTTCAAACGCTTCCAGAAAGTGCCAACTTCTTTTTTGCTAAATACTTTTTATGTACTGATTTCATTAGAGAGAGGCTCAGATCCAGACACTGTGGAGCTCAAGCTTGGATGAGTGCCTGAGGATATGTTGTCACCACTGCAGCTCCAAGGTGGTGCAGAAGTAGGCAAAGCCACTGTAGCCACCATAAGGAGAGCAGAAGGGCCTCTCGCCCAGTCTGGTTGTTTTGAAGTTTCATGCTGCAACAGCTACAGGTAGTCATTGTCCAAAATTCATGCCTAGGAATAGTGATTGCTTCCTGGAAACAAAAGCCACAAAACACTTAGTGAAAGACCATATAAGCCTTTTTACACCTTAAGTCTACACTATCTTCCTCATGTGGTAGCATTACCAAGTCCTAGAGGAAATCTCCCACCAGCTATGTGCAAAGATATCCTACAATGCTGACATTCATGTGTCTGTAGTCATTTACATGACCTAGCTTGGCTGCTAATCCATTTCTTCAACTCCAAAATCCAACAATTCAAATCCTGTCTCCAAAAGCATCTTTTCCACATCCTGTTTAGAATTTGACACAGGGTATTACACAACTAATTGCTAGTTGGATTTCTCAATGTCCTATAGCTCCCAAAAAGAACTCTGGTTTAAACTATTCTATACAGTATTTTCAGTAGTGTGCTTCTGTATCTCTATCACCCCCTTGAAAAGATTGATGAAAAGATTTCTAAGAATACTGACCCAAGCAAGCAAACTGTCATTCTATTAATTCTCCTATTTCTGCACTATTTCAGTCAGCCTAAAGATTCCTGGAAAGAACAGACACTGAACTAATTCTCATTTATATTAGTGTGACATAAATAGCTGGAAGAGCCTGCTTTACTGAGGGCCTTTTTAAACCTTGTCCATCTGTTTTCAATTAAATCATCCAAAGAAACAGCAAATTACTCATTACAATATTCAGTTTTAAGTAAATAAATAGGCAGAGGTTACACTGCCTGTATGTCATAATAAGCTCTGCTACCTGGTCTGACCTCAGAACACCACTAAATAGGCCACCTCAGAACACAGCTCTTTTCACTACTAAGCACAACCATCAAGCTCTTTAAATAGCATAAAAAGAGCTGCAGTGGGGATTTTGATTTCAATATATAGGAACTACATCAGGAATGAAGTGTCATTTACATTTCTTAATAGGACTTTTACTATAGTTTATAGACAGTATGTGCTAGTTTCTTGGGTACTGAGTGGCAGGCCTGAGGAGGTATTGCTACTTGTTTTAGTGTACTTGGGATTTTGCATGCATGCTTAAAAACAAATCTAGCCAGACCAAGTATACATCTCACTCCTTAAAGTGGATATATGCTATATGGCATAATAATCACAGTCAAGCATACACAACATATACCCAAATGTTCATAGAGCAAACACTCTACAGAGTTCATTGCAAACTAAATGAGAAAACTATTAAAAAGTCAGTAATTACAAACCAAACCTGTTTGCAAGCTGAGCATACCAAGAGTCTGAGAACACACACACTGAACACTTTATCTTGGGAGGGGTTGAGACAGTAACAAACCTTACTTCCCATTCTTTATTCCTAGCCCGTGTTGTTGCTGCTGACAGTTTCACCTGTAGTCCCACAGCTAAATTATCTGCTGGGTTTTGGGCATCTCTGTAATGCTTTTCCTGTAACCACTTGTTGGTCCCAGGTAAGTCTCAGTATTTACTCTGTACTTCTTTCACAGCAGATTCCCTCAGCTGAGGCCCATCATTTTCTTCCTCTTGAGTTTGAGCTCTTGAGTCTGTTTGATACTTTAAATTCCATGCTCTAGCCTTGAAGAAAAATTTCCAGCATCTGGAGCCACATTCATCTCTGGGGACTTACGGCATCTGTAATATTTTGCTCCTTTTAATAAAATTAGGACAATTCAGAGATACTTTCTCTTTCACCTCCAAAATGGTTTTCTTTCATATAGTTTCATCTACCCAACACTGCAGCAGTGTGAATTCTTTTCTTTTTGGATTTCATTATGTTATCGCCTTCCCTCATCACCCTGAAAGTTTCAAATTCTTTACCTTCCATTTTCTAGGCATCTTGACTTAAAATGAATTGTTGAATAACCACAGTAACATGCACAACTTTCCTAAACATCCAATGGAAGCTGATTTCCAAAAGCTGACACAAAACACTGATATAATTTAAATACTCTCATTAAAAGCAAAAAACATATGAAAATCACTTTTTATTAATTTTCAAATATAAACCAAGAATTTCTGTGTTTGTGTATCCAACACACATGATCTCCCCTGTGGTCAGTTGCAGCATTAACTCCTACAGATATTTTACATCATCATAACAGATTGTGTTTAATCACTGCAACATTAAAATCAACTTCTGAGAGTTAAAAAGAATGAAACAAAATTGGTGACAAGATGCAATGTTCTACCACATTCCTTGCAGAGTACTCCAGGAAACACAGCAACTCTGATGTCTCAGCAGCCATACACTTGTTCATGAGTTGTACTCATTCTGCAAATTTTATCTTTCTGCACTTGTTAGCAGCCCTCCTAAGGATATTGCCTTGTCTTGACTCAAGCAGTTAATGCCACCTGGCTCTTCCCACAGCCATAACAAGCAGTGGTACCTCCAAGTCAGACTATGGTACTCTTGCTCATGTCTGATGCTCTTTTTCTGCAAAAGCATGCAGAGATAGACCTCTGCCTAAGAGTAACCCATGGCCTCATGCCAGACCCAGACTGAAGTCCAAGCACTAATAAGCCAAGCTTTTTGCAACAAACCTAACTGTAGGCCTGGCAGCAGATACTGCACAAGTGCCTTTAACTAGTTAACCGGCACTTAAAGTCAATGGAAAAATAGACAATAAAACAATCGAAATCCATGTCACAGCCAGATATTTCCCTTACATATATAACAACAAAGAACCTCTTGTGCATTTAAGACAACACAAAGTAACCTGTTGAGTTCTACATTGAGTAGTGTAAGATCATATCATCAGTGTTCCTGCACAATCTGCTAGAAAGACTGGTATAGATTCATTTGTGTCTTTCATTTTACAATTTCTTTTCATCTTAAAGAGTCCTCTAATAGCAGTTCCAGAATCCCATTTTGTTCCAATGTTTATGTAAAATGGAGTTGTACCAGTTCCACTTCTGGAAACCGATACAGCTTTGCTTCACACACTGCCTTGCACCACCATCATCTTCTACTACAGGTTAGAACGAGTCAGCCAGGGAAACTCCTGGAAGAGAAAAAACAAAACCAGAACAGAATAAAAACTATATCAGAATGGACAAACAGTAGGAGGAACAGGACAGAAATATGTATTGACTACCCAATGGAATCCACAGCAAGTAACGACTGCTCAGAAACTTTCTGGTCTCATGTTGTCAGGTATGAAAAGAAAGAACCATAAATTACAGAAAGAGTAGTTAAAGACACTACGCTTTTTCTGTGGTTTAAGTGACACCACCTGAGGATTTCAGAGGTTGCCTACATGAAGTCTGTAGAGAAAGAAAGGAGAATATATACATACCTGTTTCTTCCTGTCGGACTGTGGATCAATCATTACATTTATAAGAGAAGGTGTTTGCTTGTCAGTCAGGCTTGTTTTCAGAGCATTCTGCAATTCTTCTGGTGTTTTAACAAAGTATCCTTTACCTCCAAAGGCAGACATAATTATCTCATAGCGTGAATTTGGCAGGAGAGACACAGGAGGCACACTGTAACAAAATGGAAAGCCTCTGATTAATGGCAGGGAAGAACTGCCAGACACCAATTTAATTACTTCACACTTTAAATCAGTGCTAAAATGATTATTCATCTGGCCTGATAAACTAAGTGGAAGAACTAAGTTTCCTATACCATTAATACTATATTTATAAGGTAGCATACTAATTTTCATCTTCTGGAGACATTCCTGAGCGAGGCTTTAGCCTAGTTCTCTTGTCATGAGTTCTCAGCTCCAGAAGCAGAAGCCCAGTGTAATCTCAGAGTGCAAGTTTCAGGTAATTTTGGATATTATCATGTTTTTGGAGGTTAGCCTGATATGTGTGGCCTGAACTGCTGCAGAATGCTGAGACAACTAATAGAGACACATCTCTCTGCTGCACAGTTGTGTAAATTTGGTTGGTTGCTTACCTTTAATAACTGGTTCATACTTACAGGAACTTAGCCTAGAACTAAATTAACTTCATGAAAAATTTTAATCCAGATCACAAAGCATTAAAAGTGAAGAGAATGACCATTTTGGCCACTTCTTCCTTAATTGACAGGCATACTTTGAAGATGCTCACCATGTAGCAGGATCTCCAAAATTTAACATCTCCTTCCAGGCATCTGCACCCAAACCAGTGTAAATCCCATTGTTGTTTATGATGATAATCAGGATTGGCAAGTTGTACCTACAAACAGATGCATTTGGAAGAATTCTGAAATACAGGCACATTTCTGTAAGGTATTGAAAGTGCATTAAAAGTGTTACTTTTCCTTAAAAGGAAAATAAATATTTAAAAAAAAACACTTCCTCCTGAAATGTGATCTACCCATCACTGGTGATAACACACTAAATCAAAACAATATTAAAACAACCATGTGTATTTTTTGGCCTGTTTTCATGTGCTGTTATGAGTACCACATCTAAGACCAGTGTTCTTGGCTGCCTAGTTAAACTGATCCTGGCAATATATGAAGAAGGTCTTGAGCAAAAACCAATTACCTGCAAATAGTCTCCACCTCCATCCCAGAAAATCCAAAAGCACTATCTCCTTCTATGCAGATGACTCGTTTTTCAGGTGTTCGGTCTTTAGCTACCATTGCAGCTGCTATAGCAAAACCCAGTCCAACTCCCATTGTTCCAAAAGTACCTGCATCAAGCCTAAAGAGGACAATACAGAATTACTATTCCTTCATTTCTGCTCAAGCTTTTAAGTTAATCTATAGTAACTTGTCTTTACTTCTAATTATCTTCCATATAGTATTCAAATACTGCTTCACAAACAATTGGTATAAAGAGATACCAGATGTATAGCTTATTATATTCAGCCAAACATTTTATAAGACTGCAAATATTTTAAGGGATATAAACATACTGGAACTCAAAATTAAGAGCTGCCATACACTAGTTGTACTACAGTAATGAACTATTATTGCATGCTTTTAGCTTGCATAGTAACAATATTTCAAAAAACATTCAATTACTGTAGAGATAGGCAGACTACATGAAATCTTTCCATGTTTAATTCCTCGAAGCAATTGGTCAAATACTGCTGTTCTAATTTTAGTCTTCTGTTCAAATTTTGAAATCAAATTTAAAGCTGTAATTAAGTTAGATCATTTCAGTCAGAAGCACATAATGGATACAAAAGTACATAAGGAACTTGATTATTCTGGAGTTAACTTTACAAATTCACTTTCAGATATGTGCAATGCAACTTGAAAAGACAATCATTAACCTTACTGTGCCTTTATTTTAAATAAGGGGTGAAGGAAATGCAAACTCTTCCCCCAGCTTTACTGGAAGCATGGTTTTTTTTGTTTTTTTTTTTTGGTTGGCTGGTTGTTTTCCTGTTCACAAAAAAGTATTTAGGTTCATTTAGGACTTTAGGCTACTTTCACAAGAAGGCACAAACGTCACAGTCAGACCAGCAATTTCACCTCACCAGACAGAGCTCACTTTTCACCCCTATTCAAGAAATGGCATTTAATTCGATCTTACATTAAAACTAGACTAGCCATAATGACATACCAACACACACCAACACACAAATTTGAGTGCCTATATTTTAGGTATGCAGGTTTACATGAAAGTGTATCCAATATACAATCCAATTTTCAAAATTAGTTGATTCTTTTTAAATTTTCTCTGGTTTTAAGTCTGTTTCGAAGAAAACCTCTTTGTATGAATTCTTTTCAACTTGAGAACCCAACAACTGCTTTTATTTTAAATCAAAATTTACCAGACTCTGAGCACAGAAGTAAGTATCTAGATCAGGGAATTTAACATGATGCTCTTCACTCACCGCAGAAGAGCGATAAACTATCTGTTGCAGAGCACATAGAAAAGTCACAGAAAATTATTAAAATCTAGGACAGGACATCAGAAAATGAGTGGAAAACTTCCCTTAACCCTCTCCCAGCATACTAGATTTGTTTTTTCCCCCCTCCCCCATTTAGAACCTTTAAAAAGGACCAAAAAAAAACCTCTGGTCCATCATACTCCTCACTTAAATGTTAACATTTACACATAGATCTATCCTGTTGCCAGAACAACAAAGAAAATACTGCACCTTTGACGGGGATAGTAATTTGGAAGCATAGTTCGTCCAATGTCCATGGTGTTTGCTCCCTCACTTACTAAGATGCAGTCCTTGGGTATCAGTTCTCTGATGTGGTGGAAGACTGTGTAATAATTCATAGGCAGAGATTTCTGTAATGCTAATCCCTTAAAAAATAAGAGACATTAGTAACTCCTATGGGTAGACTTTACAATATGGTGCAGAACTGAGACATGTAAATAATAATGATAGAAATAAAACTGCACCCTGCTAGGTAAGGCTGGAGTATTTGGTTTTCCATGTACTATATCAAGATCACTCCTTCTGTTCCTGTGCTGGTGACACAATGTATTTATCAGAGGCTCACTGAGCTCTGCAACCCTGGATGCCCTCTCATTAACAGGAAGCTATTAAAACTCAGTTTAACCCTAGAGGCACATGAAATTTTTCTGCACATATGTTTGACTATTGATAACCCTAAGCAAGCTGTCACCTGTGTGCTGGGAAGTAGTTCAAAAGAGTGATCTGCTAGAATTTTAGATCCCAACCTCAGAAACATGCATCTGAACTTCCAGAATATGAGATGCACAAAGTTAGGCATATGCCAGGCATCTGTGGTCTTTCGGCCTGAATAGCTACTTGCTTTTGATACAAATTATAATCCCACCAACTCTGCTAGCCAGCACAATTACAGAAGAAAATTAAGAATGTATCTTCATGTAAGCTAGCTTCCACTTGGACTACTTGGAGGTACCTGGAATATCTGTCCATTGCCCAGAAGTCACCACTCATAATACAGCAGCTCTGGCTATGGTCTTCTGCTACTGGTTTTAAAAACCCAGCCCCAAAGTTCAGTGGCTTCCACACAGTTTGAATTTATAAAAAAACCCTAGAATACTTAACTTACAGTTATTAAGACTTAACTTACAGCTCATAAGCCTGACAAGAGTAAGCCTGTACCAGAATGGCATGAATTTTCAAAGCCTGGGTGACATGACTGTCAGAAGTAATTAAGAAGTTTGGACATAAATCAGTGACAAAATCGACTATGCACTGGTACCTGTTAAGGAAAGAAACCTCTTTTCTTTGACATTACCTTTGATCTTTCCTCATTGTTCAACATTTTCTCTCGTAGTCTCTTCCACCACTCTGAATTAGAAGGATATTTCAATGGTCTTTTGCTGAACTCTTCCAACAGCTGGAAGAACATTGAAATGTTGCAGAGATTTCTTTCAACACATTTCAAAAGCATAAAGAATAACATTACCAAGAAAGATCCCAGCACAACCACAGTAACACTAATCAGAATCTTTTAAAATTAAATACATTGCCTGAAAAAATGGTTTTCCTTGAACAGTTTTCTTCTTTTTCTCTAGTAACTTTATATAAAGCAGGGGAGACTGAGTTCAAAACAGGAGGACACCTGATATTACATTACCTGTCCAGTCACGGCATTTATGTCACCTAATAAAGTTGCAGCTGGTCTCACATTATTTCCCAGCTCTTCTGAACAAATATCAATCTGTATTTCAAAAAGAAAGGCTACCATTAATTCAAGGATATTAAAGAGATTTTTTTTTTTTCTTCAGTTACAGTGAAAAACATGGTCTAACAACATCTTCACACTTGTTTTGGCTGTACAGATAAACCCTCTGTCTTTCATTGACATGACACAGGAAATCCTTTATTTAAAGGAAAATCCTGTGGTACATATCAATTTTAATAAAAGTGTATATATATGTATATATATATATAATTGACTTAAAATTAACTATTTGCTTCTTACAAGCTCTTGCTGACAATTTAGAACTTTATCACTAAAATCACCACCACCTTCTCCTTGACATTCTAGTAATTATATGGAAACTACAAATCCAGGCTTAAGTATACCTTAAAGGCTACAGAAAGCAGTAATTTTCTTACTAAGTCTCTGTGTGCTACCTGGCAATAAGAATTTGGATAGTACAAAGAAACTGAAAAGTAAATTATGACCACTGAAGCAACTTCCCCATTTTCTTTATCAGTGATGTAGCAGGCCTCTTAGGTTACATGGAATACTAACTTATGATCAGGTCACACAGGCTATGAACTGAACCAGTATTTCAATACTGACAGCGAAAAGATATACTTTAAGTGAGGTGAAATAATACTAGTTTTCTTTGCCTTCTTCAGAAGAAGGAAGCATAAAAAATGTATTATTTCATAAATCAAAAGGAACTGTAGCTTACAAAAATTATGTTATTCCTCTGGAAAAGATGCAAAGTTTGGAACCTGAGATTATGTTCCAGATGACTGAAAGCAGGCCAGTGAGCACACTGAATCAACTACTATTCTTTGATCACTGACTCTAAGGGAGGAGATTTTGAGGACATAAACAATTTAATAACTTGTCTAACAGCTGGCAGATTGCCAAATACATTAATTAGTTAAATAGCCTTTCTTCCTCTTATTAACATTTCTGAGTGACTTAACTCTTACAATGACTGACTCTGGATCTGAAAGTAATTCTATTTCAGAAAATCTGCCTGGGAGAGCAATCAAACAGCTTGCAAGATGTCACACTTTCAACACAATTTGCTTTCAATCACAGGAATTCCAGTGTTCCAAAGATCACACAAATATCGTGAGTCTAATCCTGTATTAGCCAGCTACATGGAAACATCTGCTCTCCTCATTAGAGCAGCACCAAGTCCTTGGTAGCTGGAACAATGTTGTAACCATTTTTAGAAAAAGACAGGAAAGTAAAAAAAATAATGAAAGAAATTAGAAGTATTTCTGGACAACTACCATAACTATGGTGCACTGTTCTCGCTGTCCATAGTGTACTTCATGTGGCAAGTAACGCCCTACCGTAACTATAATGCACTGTTCTCACTGTCCATAGTGTACTTCATGTGGCAAGTAACGCCCTACCATAACTATAGTGCACTGTTCTCACTGTCCATAGTGTACTTCATGTGGCAAGTAATGCCCTACCAAAATAATTTACAGCAATTGCTCTAGGCAATGCAGGACGAGGAGGACTTTCTGCACGTGACAAACAATCATTTTCCTGCTCACCTGAATAACCTTTACATCTTTTTGAAACCTTGGTGGCAGACCAAAATGCAAAATCCAATTCAACCTTGCACCAAGCAAGATGATTACATCAGCATGCTGTAATGCCCTAGTAAAGGGAAAGAAGAGAATTAGATAAGGAGGAGTTAGTATTAAATTTAATAACATTTTCAAAATTAGAAGTAAACCTAACCACCACAGCAAGCCTCAGAATATACATATATATGTATATATACATATAATCCTTCCTTTCTCTAAGTTGCTTGCTTAGCCCCAAAAACCTGTATCCTTTTACATAGCCAATCATCAAGCCATTCTTGAGTTTAAGCCCTCAGAGAAGCTGTGGCTGCCCCATCCCTGGCAGTGCTCAAGGTCAGGTTATATGGGGTTTTGAACAGCATGGTCTAGTGGAAGGTGTCCCAGCCCACGGCATAGTGTTGGAACTAGATGATGTTTAAGGCCCCTTCCAACCCAAACCATTCTACGATTCTATGATTTTCCTGATACACCATGTTTGGGAAAGGAATTGTTACACAGTAGAAGACTTACAAGATGCTATAACTATGCAGAGGTTAAAGCAAAAGACTTACTACTCTGACACTGGCAACAGTGGATGCCAAAATTAAGATTATTGCGGACCTTTCATCTTGGACTCCTGATAACTTACCTTTCAGCTGGGCAGATAATATTTGGTATGTTCTTTTATTCTCCATTTTTCTTAACAGCATGCTTAACAGTGATAAAACTAAGATGCTCAAGAACAGAAATATTGTAATCTCAAAGAATTTAAATGCTCCATCTGTAAACTGACTGTGCATATTCATACCTAACAGGGTTCTTATAGTCCATTCACATTAATTTTGCCAAAAGACAGAAATACCCCACCACTTACAAATGACTTGAACCACAGTCCTTCAGTGTAGTTTGAAATACCTTATATTTCTTTTTAAATAATGTGGAATTTAGTCATGGTGTATTGCAAACACCATGCAGAGACAGCAAAACTTCAATTGCAATTATGTGCATCTTAAGCTCTTGTTTATGGTTTTAAAATAAAAAGCCGGCAGCGCACCAAGTTAAACGTTTAACATAACTGTTTGCCAGTTTCATTTTATGTTATGAAATACATACTAATAACATTGATAAATCTACTTGTCATAGATTTCAGTTACGGAATATTAGCTATCAGATAAAGTATCTTCCTGGCCAGCACTCTTAGAGCATTGTCAAAAGTGATCCACCTAAATCTGCTGTCTCTTTCCAAGCAAGATCTTCAGTGCTTTAAAACGAGGTACAAAGTGTGGCTGAAAAATTTGTTGTATGCACTTTGTCTTCCCTGGCATCTGCAGACCACCACAATTCTAGTTGATTCTTAGATGTTAGGATTAGAAGCCTTGCTTTATATTTACGTTGATCTTGCTGCAGCTACACAATTTGGATGGTTATCAGGAACTACTCCTTTTGCCATTGGTGTAGGCAAAAAAGGCAGCCCACAAAGGTCCACCAACTTTCTGATGTTGCTTTCAGCATGTGAATAAGCAGCACCTGAATGAAATGAAAGAGACTGCTTAATACTACAGAAACCTACTGTATTTGCTTGAACTTCAATTAACCTGATCACATTAGTGGTAGAAAGAGCACTATTTCTCATTATGAAAGTTGCCTGTTATTTTTCATTCTGGAGAATTCAAAACATAATATGCCAAACTACAGGTATTTGGGTTCAAATTTCCCATTTATTTACAAAAGCCTTCTCCCTCCCTCCCTCCCTCCCTCCCCTACCTGCTAAGACTTTAGCTGAAGTATTCAGCTATTTCTGTGAAGCAGGGCAGGGAAAAATAGGAGATTTTATCTAAAATGATAATTTCGAGTGCGTGAATTTGGTATTATGGGGCCAAGACTTCTGCAGCAGCAACAGATGACAGCTTTTGTGTTGTGTCATTTTTTGCTTGCCCCCTGCATGCTGTTGTACCACATGATCCATAACAATCTGCCCAAACAGATTTACTATAAGCCTTTAATGAAAAAAAAAAAACTCAAAAGATGACCTTGTAAAGCTGTGCACCTATACATACATTTACTGTGATGCTACCTTCAGTACATGGCTGCTGTATTAAGGGTGCCCAGGAAATCTAGAAATCTAGAGCACTGACTGGTGCTCATGCAATAACATAAGTCCGTAAGTCTTAAATCCTGAAGAATAAACTTCTGTATTTCTTCACAAACTTCTGCTAACAACAATACGTAGCAGAAAGTCCAGAGGTATTTGTTAAGTAGATCCTCAATTGTTGACATCAACAAAACATGCATTTATGTATTTGATTACCTTTCACTTTCAAAGAACACCCTTTCGTTCATATGTATTAAGCCAGAGAGAGGGAGGAAAAAACCCCCACCCTTTCCTGATCTACCTTCCATCTACTATTTTGTTACCTAATCAATGAAAAGATCTATTTCATCTCAATCATTTGAGTCCCTGATTAAATGTAGAACCTCTCCCCAAGATACAGATGATACCAGCAACTGCAGGATAACAGCTTGGGTGAAATAAGTAGGTTATTTCAATTCAATTCAGTTCTTAGAAGTATTTGCTTGGAATTTTGGAAGTGATGCTTTGGTACTGCCTCCAGTCTTAAGAGAGTGGTTACCCACTTTTTTCTAATCAAACTTGTCAATTGATGAAATGCTTTTCGCTTATACTAGATGAAAAAGGCCACAGTTGCACAACAGAACAAAAATACTCTAAAACTAGATCAGATTTTAACATCAAATTTGGCAAAGTTTATAGGTTTTTAGGTTTTGCTTCAGATACTTTTTTTTAATAGACAGTGCGAAGGATATGGCTAACACTTATGGGGAAAAGAAGTCACTTTAGTTCTTATTCTTGTCCTGAACTTGTACGGTTCAAAGCAACATCAAAGCATGCTACCTTTGCCAATGATGAGCAGAGGCTGCTTGGAAAGAGCAATGATAGATGTTGCTCTGGATACAGCAGAGCTTTCAGCTGTGCTGATGGGAGGTGGCAGGCAGCATCCCACGTACCTGGAAGTCAAGCAAAACAAAAGAGGCTCTTAAAAAATTCAAAACAAGATATGTTGAAAGATAAAGCTGCAGTGGCTACACACCATGTTACTCTCAGCATTTATCAGAACACAATACATTTTTCTTTAAACAGGCTTTAAAGCTTTTCTTGAATATTCCTTTCATCTCACAGGTAGTGTTGTTCCAGAGATTTACAAAGTGACATCATACTGTATTAACATCATATTACTTCATTCCCTTTTTGCACATTTCATTACAAACTATAATCCATGTCGCACTGTGATGGAATGTTTACATTCAGAGGCTAGATTTTCTTGTTCTAAGAAAATGCAAAAATAACTAAAGTTTATTCAGTGACTTGAAAAATAATGAATGTAATCTTTACGCACTTGACAGAGCTCTTGTTCACCTGAAGAGTCACAAAATCTCCAGGTATGTCAATATAGCAGGAACCTGGACGACCATATATGCTGGTTCTTACAGCCTAGAAAACAGATAATCAGTGTTAACCACCGCTTGAAAAGACATTAAGAATCTTTATGTGTAAAAAACCAAGAAACCCCTTCTGCAGGCAAAGAAGGAACATGCTATTTCATACTGCTGAACCATCCCAGGATTGATTTTTTTCCAATAAATTCAAGTTTTGATACATTTTTCCCTAAATGCAAACAGAAATCTTTCAGTAGATGGACAGTATTAGACTGCAAGTTCTTTGCCTAATTCAGTTAGACAACTACATTAGCTGCTGTGTTTGGAAATCCTAAATTAAACTTTCATGCTGCATTCTATTTAAAGTAGCACAAACACTGAAAAAAGACAATCAGTGCCTCCATTTTCTATTCCTTTGCATTCCAGTTCTTTTATTGCAGGTAGATGAACTGCTGCATTTGCACTTCTGGAAAACAGTAGCACTGTATGCAGAATTTAGCCTGACATGGCTGAAGAGTTGCTACAGCAAGAGACTTTTGTAACCCCTTCTGAAGCACTAAAGTAAGGAAGTGCTCTCTCTCATTCCCTCAAAAAATCCCAACAAACCAGCACCAAACTCAAAACTCAAATATAACCATCTCCTCTGCCCACCCTCTAAATCTCCTTCACATAATGAGAGTGGTAGAAGAGCTGGAGTTTGTATTATTACATTTCTAGATATTGCACCTCTCCCTAAAAGCTTTTTGTTTCATAAGAATGTTCCAACTCTGACTGAAGCTAACAAAGAACACTGCAGGTATCAGTAAGCATCAGGCTAGACCAGAATTTGTTTCTAACCTGTTCCATAGCACTGCTCACAGGAAAAGCCCCTCTGCTTGTTAATTCACTCCATCACCTAACATCTGCTGGATAAAACTGTTTTTGGTAACAACTATATAAATAAACCCTCAAAGCTTATACAGAAGGAGACAGTTATTTAATGCTCTCTTGCTAATTTAGTATTTTTCATACCTTTTCAATAACAGCAGGAATAGCTTCTAGGCTGCTTGGGCGGACAGACAGCTTGTTGCACAGCCTACCAGCTTCAACCTGAATAAATGCATATAACTATTATATCAGTTTAGCAAAGTGATTTGATTGTTTCCATCTCATTTCATCATGAATAAAATGGAAGAAATGCCAAGTGGAAAGCAACAAGCTGAAAACCCCTATGAAGAAAAATGCAGTTCCTCAGTTGATACAAACTGTCAAAGCCCTACTCATTCTCTTAAGTGCTTAAGTATTTATTCTTTTTCCTCCTGGAAACTGGTGCTACTTTTCTTGGAGAGTTTACTGTCTTCCATCTCAGAGCAAACAAAGGCAATTTATACCAACTGAGAACCTAAAACGGCTCATGAATTCTAGCATGAGTATGGGAAAAGACATTCCAGGTTATCAGCTATATTTATAGTGTCAATTTTTAACCAGTAGATGGAGCAAGTCAACAGCATTATAAGATCTGTTAGGAAACATTAGCTTTTGGTGTTATTCCCATACTAATGAAGAAACAACATCAATTATTTAACTGCAACCTTTCTGTAGAAAACTGTATGTCTGTGTACCTGAGGGAATTCTTGGAAAGCTCCCATGGCTTCCTGATTTCTGTCAGAAGCGCCTCCAATAACAATCAAAGGCCTAGAAAAGTGTATTAAAAACAAACAAAACAAAACCAAAACAATCTTAAGCATACAGATTTTTTTAATAACTGCAATCAGATCTCTAAATTCCTTATGGTCAAATCCTACTGCTCTTAGCATGGTGTGCACCTTCAGCACCCACAGATCTCAACAGGAACAGGAAGCAACCTCTACAGGAGCAGATTCTAAATATCAATGTGTCAGCTGGTAGAGTTCCTAGCAGCTTCTGGGTCACTAGTTTTAGGACAATCTGGACATTTTAAGTGAACTGCATCTAGCATAAAAATTCAAAACTGAAATCACGTTTCTAGAAATTTTCTTTTAAGTTTGACAGCATGGGTGGCAAAGCGGTTTGAGAGGAATGACAACAGCTAATCTAAAAAGCAGGTACTAATTGATCTAAAAAGTATCAAAATGTTTAAGAGGCAACGTGACATGAACAAACACTAGAAATACAGTAGGAAACAATCCTTTCAGAAATATTTTTTTTATATATATATATATATATATATGCAATTTGTAAGACAGCAGAAGTTAGCTAACTATCCAACAGCATTTCTTCCTGCCTTCAGTTTTTAGCAAAAAATCCCAAAGAGATGAACAAAAAATTAACATGCCTATAAGCATTCGTGTTCTTTCTGAAATTAGTTCATGGCTATGTGAGAAAGGCAGCATTAATTTACAATGCAGGTTATACATTCCACAGGAGCACGTTTTTATTATCACTTCTACAAAATAATTAATTTCCCTACAGTGAATAACAACTGGTCTTTTATTCAGTTTGTAGGTCAAATCTTCAAAGTGCTAAATGATGAGTCAATAAAAGAAAACCGATTTATGAATTTGCTCATTCCTCCAAAATAAATAAAATATTGGATCAATAGCTTTCTAGGCTTTTTCTCCGAAAAAATTTCTCTTCAAATACAGCCTTTCCTTTGACTGCATTTATCTACGCAATGTATTAAGCTGAAACGTTTACAGTGAGCTCAATGCATAATCCTAAATTTAGTCACCCTAAAATTTGGGGATACCCATACCTAGAGCCAAGCTTAATAACCACACCACCTCTCTGCTACAAATAAAAATAAAAAATAAAAAATAAAAAAAATCACAGTTCTAATCCCCTGACACTGCGAGATGAGAACTTCAGGCTTATTTCTGTGAAAAATCATTATGGAAAATGCATTTGATGTATGCTCTAGATATTTTATTCTGCTGATTCTCTCCTCTGAGCAAAATGCCCATCACTATATATAACCAGCCTGTTCACAGTGACAAACCTTATGGTCCTTTCATTTACCTTTTTCAAATTTATTTAAGTATGTTTTAAGAAAACAACTACTGCTTCCCAATACTGAACTATAATTAAGAAAATGCTTTACTCTTAAAAGAGTCAACTCCAGTAGCTGTATCTTGCAAAGATTTGGTTCTGCTTTTAAAGTTTACACAGTTACAACCAGAAAGAAGTTCTTCCCCCAATGAAATCATTGCATTACTGTCACAATACTGAAGACACTTTAAAGAGCAGTGTTTATAAAATTAAATCAAACGTAACAGTGGGGCAGGAAGAACATCAACTGTAATAAAACTAATAAGAATAGCAAGCCTTATGGAGGAGTAAGGAGAAGTAAACTGGAAAAAAAAATAAATCAGATGCAATTTCAGGTGAAGAGCATGGTATTTCACCATGCTACTGTATACAGAAAACTTAACTATTGCAAACACTTCTTTGGAGTCTATTCTCTTAGCCAAAGAAGATACTAAAACTTTTGCTCAGGTTGAGGCAGGAGAGAAAGAGGCAGCACGACATGTAACTTTTAACATGAAATATCAAAAGGTTTTACCCTCAGAAAGGCAGTCTACCAAGGCCTCATTAGCTACCTAGGGAGCTAGATTTACATGTCCAAGTGTTCACTGTGACAAGCTTCCAGGACAAACCAAAGGCTCTTCTACTCAGCCTAGATGTGCTCAGGCAGTAAAATCTAAAAAGCACAATTAGCATTACATTAAGCTATCAGACTGCTTGACTTTCTTACAGTTGGCAAGTTTCTTTCTCACGGATGAGAATGAAACAGAAGAGGATCAGAAGAAAGGGACTCCAGGCTCAAGGAGAACAACTCAGAGCTTTAATGACTATCCCTTAGTCCGAGTTATGTCAGAACAAGCAGAGTCAGATCAACTATTAGCTTACTTCTGTAAGAAAGGAACCAAAACTCAGCCATTGTATCACATTAACAATGCCAGATGTAGTGTCATGGAATCACATGACACTTGGGAGATAGCTATGAAGGCAAACCTCGCCTTACAAATCAGTGTATTCACACCACTTCTTTACAGGGGATGGTATACAGCAAGAGACTTAACACCTTGCTGCCAGAGAAAGAGGAAGATCTAATGTGTAATGAACTGAATGTGGCTGTTGGGACAGACAAGTGCCAAAGCTGGCAGGAAGGCAAGCAGCAGCACACGGCTGGAAGACAGGTGTGGCGATGATATGGGCCTATGTCTCTTTATGCAGACTGTGCAACATTGGTGTAACCAAACTCCCTAGTGTGCATTGTTTTTTCACCTCCTTTGCTTGGCCTACTCCTGCTCTTCCCTTGCAACACTTCTCCATAATTTCTGCCCAAGCTGCTGTCTAGTGAAACAAGCTAGAAAGCTGATTAGTTAACATAAAAATCCCATTTTCCTCTTCAAAGCATGGCACCCTTTCTTACAATGGTTTTGCAAGCCAAAAAGTAAATGTGAAAAAGCATGTTTGGGATTCTCAGCCACTCAATGGAGGTGCCTACTAATGAACGAGCCAAGAAAAAAGTTTCATTAGGCTAAACTTAGGGTCTGTGAATGCTCCTTTCATCACGTGGCAGGCAAAAAGCAAGCCTGATGCGACCAATGAAAATATCACTGGGCAAATACTTTAGTTTGGCCACCGAAAACCAGTTTCTTGCTATATTGTGAAATCTGTTGAACTAGATAAGTCACTCCCTTCACCTTTTACCAGGAGTTGATACAATATCAAGTCATGGGTCTGTTTACCTGATAAGACCTGTTTACCTGTTCTCAGGCAAAAATAAGTGTGAGAAAACAGAAACAAATCCTGCAAATCCATAAGCAAGTGCTATGAATGCTTCTTTCTTATAACCAAATCCATGACTGCTCAAAAGCAAGGTTTTCAAATGACTTTTTTTATCTAAGGTCACATAGGGACAGCAAAACTTTGGCCAATTTTTTTTTTTTTTTTTTAAAAAAGCATTTGAACACTAGAGATCTTTTTTTCCAGAAACTTGATTTGTTACCATTCCATTATGAAGCTTCCCTTGTCAATCAGCCACTGCTCATCTTATGCCTCTCATCAGGTGTGCTTGGTATTACCAGAGCTTCTACCCAAAATACCGCATACAGCTTTCTGAGTGGCAAACCAGCTAAAACTGCTATGCCTCAGTGAAAGCTTATGGGAGTAAATGCTATCACTCTGTACATCATTTAATTCAATATTTAATGACTGCTCTAAATGTCTGTGTAGAGAGAAAATAAGGATTTTAACAATGCAATTGTCAATTTGTTCACATATGAAAGAGTAATTCAACAGTGATGTGAATTTAAATTTAGGAAAAAACCTTTAAAAGTCTTCATGACCAATAAAGCATTACAGGCTGAATATCAATTTTATTTTCAAATGCATCCAAACAATCAGGTATACTAACAGATTCCCCAATATATGCACGAGGTAAGACAAAAAGGAGAATTTATCCATGAAAATACAAAACGGCGGATTAAATGACTTTTAGGGATGATAAACCAGGAATTTGCTTCTCATTACCCACATGAAAGAAATAAAAGTCCCATACTAAATACTGTGGAGCTCAGCATCTGCAACAAATAGCAGCAAACAATTATTAGACTTTTAAAGGGAAAACATAGTTAAATTACCAGCAATTCACAGTTGCGTTTGCCATCCCACCAAGGGCATGTAAAAAAACCTGGCCCGGACACGACAAGACATACTCCTGGTCTAGAGAAAAAAAAAACAAACACCACAAAAAAAACAAAAAGCCTGAAATTAAAATATTAATCATGTCATCAACGTGCATGAATTCAAGAGATTTGTATAAAGGACTAAAGACAGACATGGGAATCAAACTATTTAGTTATCAACCTAATTGAAAGAGCAAGTGAACAGCTGTTACGTGCTACCCCCACAGACACCTGCAATGTACACAGGCTTGTAACACAGCTCCTTACTTCTTTCATCACATTTATACAGAATTTATGGAATGCTTATGTTTGCAGTTTTTTCAACTTCACTTCAGCACAAGATATCAATAAAGAAAGCTCACAAAGGAAGAAGTGCTTCCAATCCAACACAAATTTTATCAGTTTAATTCCAGGCAGAGGCACTTCATATTCTATAAAGTGATAAGAAATGCTCAGTAGTTAAGAATGACTTTTTTTTCTTCAGTAGCTTTACAGACTTTATGCATATCAGAAAAAAATCCACACCCAAAAACCCCCAGCTTCATTCAAGAGGATTATTCAAAGGATGAAAAACTATAAAACTGTATGTAACAGGTGTCATGCTTGCAAATGGAATAAGGAATGGTCGCCTGCATCACTGGTATGCATTTGTGAGCAAGCAGACACCAGATGTTTACTTTAGAAAAGGATCCAGGGGATACCCAAGAAGCACACCTCACAGGTCACAGAATGCTTCCCAAAGACCTTAAGAACAAAATGCAGTAAAAGAGGAAAAGCCAGTACCTTGTCTGGGAGACTGTAAGGCATACGATCAGTCTGTCTGTACTGATAAGGTATTTGTTTAACAATAAGCCCAGATGACGAGATTGAGGTATAACAGGTCCACCAAGTTGCAAAAAAGCAATGGTGGTATTTCTGCCGCTCATACCAATGGTGTATAGCTACTCGTCAGATATTAAAAGCGGGTGCGGGGAGGAAAGTTATAAAGTGGGCAATATTATAGGAGCTTAAGCACCTCATTGCTTCTGCCCTGAATCAGAGCAACAGAAATATTGCTAAGTCTTATTGACTATTATTTTAAAATTCATGTTTTATCTTAGGTGCCTTACATCTGCACACACTGAAAATACCCAGCTCCAAACCAGAGAAATGTTCCTAGCTTCTGTTGAGTCTAACACAGTTACTATTATAAAATATATTACTATAAATATGGAATGTACCTGCCAGTCAAATATCCAACAGCAGATGCAGCGTAACAGGCCTATTGAAAAAATGGGAGTTGATGATACAATTATTATTATTTACACATTTAATGATATCTTGTATATAACTTTCAACAAAAATACTGAAAGCAGATATAGATTTTACCCTTATAATCAGAGCTTAAATATAAGCAAACGCACACCTTCACCCTCCCCATCATAAGGTGTATTCATGAAGGTTCATGTGAAAAATCTCATGACTGCCGTCTATATTTCAGATTCCTGTTTTTCCATCAGGAAATAATTGGGATTAAAAGAAAAAAAAAAACAAAACAAAACCCCAAGCCCCACATATAAAAGAAAACCCCTAAAACCAGGGAAAGGAGTATAGCAAAGCAAGAATCTTCTGCCTTCTGGAGTAGCACAGAAGAGGGATTTGCAAGAGAAAAGCAACAAGCAGAAATCCAGCAATTACTGGAATGACTCACTGTACTTCAGAAATTTGGCAAAAGGTTGAAATCACACACTGCAGAGACTAATTAGAAGTTAGCAATTGTCTTGTAAAATCACACACTACAGAGACGAATTAGAAGTTAGCAATTGTCTTTTACAAGCTGAGCTGCTGAAGTACTTCTCATTCCTAGTGCCACACTTAGCTTTAGCTACTTCAACATTTCAAAGAAAAAATGCTTTTTGAATGATTGTGGCAAAAGTTATACCTACAACTTGTGTTATCCTAGGTTACCATCAGTATTATTTCAGTTTTTATGCTATTGCTGTAGCCTATTTATCTATTAAACACTCAGACACAAATTTTACCTGGTAACAACATGTGATCAAGCAGAAAGGAAGCTTACAGGTGACCCACAAACACCAAAGGCTTCACACCTGTGACACTGCCAACTCCTTCATATTCTCATGCTTTTGTCTTGAATTCAGCACTTTCTAACACTTAATGGAAAAAACTCATTTTGGAATTTATTTTTCTCTTTAATATATAGGCTGCCTCTATTTAAAAATGCAAGAGTTGAGATTTTGCGTTTCAGTTTCGAATACTATTGTGGTAAGAAGAATAAGTAACAAACCCCTAAAAGTTTACAAAAAAATTTTCCTCAAACCTAAGAATAATTCTAGGTAACACAGCATGCTAGGAATCTCAGCTTAAATGAGTGGAAACACAGATATCTTATAAGCTTCTGCATGGAAGGAGAAACAGCTTTTAGTATCTTCACGCTCCCACAGATACAGACGAACTGTGTGAGCAAAAGCATAAAGAAGAATGAGAAGAAACCCTCATTTTCTTTGCAGCATTAAGATAAGGAATTGTTGACAAAGAAAGTACATTGATACTAAAAATCTCTTTCTACTTTTCATATGCCTGACATGAAGACAAAAAATGCCAGTGATGTTCAAGAACTAGGTAACAACTTGATGACATATCTGTGTGCAAAAATTCAGAAATATTTGGAGTAGGTGTTACTAAAAGAATCTTGTTAATGGAGCTCAAAGCATGGTGTTGTGTCTCCATGGCAATCAGGTTTTAGAACTAAGTGGCAAAATAATGCTGTACATAGAATTTGGGTTCACATACAGTTATTGTCATTAAAACTTTTACTGCTTCATTCTGCAAGGAAGCAATATAACTGAAGCTATCTGTATTTAGAGGAGATGGTAAATAACTTTGAAGGTATGCTTAAAAGATTTTTTTTCTGCATGTGTGAACAGTATGGACAAAAACCCACTTTACTGATGAACCTTGCACCCTCACCACTAAAATGTGAGTGATGGCACTCTATCTGTTAAGGCCACAACACAGTTTATCAGCTTACACCAGATCCTGATGTTAATCAGACAGGCAAGAAGGGTGTAGGCATATAAAATGAAATTTTCTACCAAAATCACAATCTGCATTAGAAAGAAATGTAGGAAGCCTAGATGGAGACATTAAACTCAAAATCTGCAACCATCCATGAGTGCTGGATTTGAACTGCAGCCAAAGCAGAGGCCTCTTCCTCCCATACAGGTAGAAGTACACTAAGGAGGGTTTAATTAGCCTGTTTTCAACTCAAACGTAAGCAAACTTATATAACATAGCAAGTAAAGAGCACTTAAGCATTTTTGTACCTACTGGCCCAGTTGAAACAGTACAGCCATGCATAGGAGCAGTTCTGAGGCCCTTATGTTAATTGTACCTAATGCTCAATGTTCCACAACTGGCCTAGAGGGCCTGGGATCAACTTACAAGAACCTGCTGTATGAATCTGAGCTCAACACTTGGTATCTTCTGTTACTACATACAACTTCAGTGTGGACCTGGAAAATCAGGTCACAGATTGAAAGCAGCAATCTCAGAATAATAAATAATTTGCTAAAGGCAAATTACTAGTAATTGAAAAAGTGTAACTTTAAGCTCTGAGATGACACTGGTTTTGCTTTAGGTAAAGTGGCAATGGCTAAGCAAGCGAAAAAAAAACAAAACAGAACAAAAAAACCCAACAGATGTGCAGCAGGATAAGACCCCTATCTTGGCCTGGGAAAGCACCATCCAGCATGACACAGTCCATAGTCCAGGCACAGAGGACAAGGGGTAAGATCTGTTCATAGGCCAAAACATCTTATAAGAAGAGATTTTGAATCTAAGGAGAAGAAAAATGCCCACTTCGGTTTCAGCTGCCCTTACTGAAGGGTCCTTGAGCCTGATCCCCTTGACAGCTAGCTCCATCAGCACTAACCACACTGCACCACCTCTAGCATATTGTATACTCACAACTAACTTAGGCTGTGATTATCAAGAGACTGCTTTGAATATATAGTGAAAATTATGAAAGATTAAGAACTAAACATTAGCAAAGTGTATTGTTAATGAGTAACAATCATAGCAATAACGATTTTCTCTGAAGTCTAAAACATACCCGGTTATCAGTCTTCTAAACTATCACAGCAACCTCTAACTATCCAACACACACGCCCCATCGAATTGCAATATAACTATTCAGTGTTCAAAGTGCATAGAGGACATGAGTTAAACTGCTTCAAGCAAATCTACAACACATTACAGACCACAGGAGACAAGCTAATGGATATTGGTAGTACTATTTGGCTTTTAACTTTATGCTTTAACCTAGCCTTTCTAGTCAAACAGTTTATTCTGCAGTTTTATGGGCTTCTGCTACATCTGGCCCAGAAATGAGGCAGAAACTCAACCCCTCAGATCATATACAGCTGCCTTCACAAATAAAGGAAGCAGCTGTATACACATCCTCCACAGCTGGACCACACAACTAATAAACTTAGACAATTAAAGCTATGACATGTAAATATTAAGTGTATCTTGAATATACTGTGTATAATCTTCTACCCTCTTCTCTGCCAAGCAATCACTTTGCCTCCACTGAGGATAAAGAACATAACCAAACCCACTCCAAGATATCCTTGTTCATCCTCTTCCAGTTCACAAAGAAGAGACCTCCTGACATTCTGATGTTAAAACAAGTCTTCACATTATTGGTATTCTCCTAAGCAGAAATATCTCACCATTTACACAGTAGGATGTTTCTTGTCTTATGCACTATAGTAGAAGAGTTTAGTAAAGAGTGATAAGTAGGACAGCATCTCATTTGGCAGTACAAAGTAATCTTCTCTGTTAATTATAGACACATGAGTAAATTAATTTTAATCATGTTAATAACCAAAGCTAAAACTCAAATCCTTGCTAAATGGCCTACAGGAATAAAAAGGCTGTGTTGAACTCCCAGTCCTTCAAAGGAATCAAATACACATTCTAAGTGTGTTTGTATATGTTTGCCTCTCTCATGTGTTAAAGATTTTTCCATGTAAAGACAAGAACTCCTTTATAAATTCTCATATTTCAATATAAGGATGTAAGGATTAGACAACAAAAACATACAGCTTGTAACCACCTGATTTAGAAGGACTACTATTATAATACTTTGTTGTGCCTGGGATGAAAAATGAAGGCTATGAACTACATGGTGGGAAACAAAAAGGGAATACTGCTGCAAAATACAGGCATCTGAATACTGTGCAGGTCCAGAATATTAGGAGTTCCTTGTAAAAACAGTAAAATTCTAATTAAGGATGTTCACAGAGAGACAGAACCCATAAACAAGTTAAAACACAAGAAAAATCTCCTGGTAAGATAATAATCATGCAATTTATTTATCTGTGGGCATCAGAGCATGGAAAGCTGATGGTCCATTTGCTAGCAGCCCAAGAGCTAGCAGACAGCTAACCAGCTTGTGTAGCAATCCTTGAATTGCTACAGGTATAAACCTGAGGTTCTTAATATGCTCCCTCAGACCACCTAAGAAACTACTGAATGCTTACAGTGCTACTACTGGAGAAAACCAAACAAATCCAGAAGTACTGGTATAACATCAAAATGCTAATGAGCTTCAGTCAAAGTTTGGATACCTAGACAACAAAGGCAGTATACATATATAGAGAGTCTAAGTATATGATCATGCTTGATTTTGAGCATTACAATTTTCTATGGTTTGCTGTCTGGTGAGCTTTTAAAACTCAGTTAAAAAAAAAAGAAAGATTATGCCAAAAAGGGCAAAGATCGCACCAATCCTCTCCCTTATTCCAGAATGACAGTAACTGCTTCTTTACAGGTTGTTTTAAAGGAGCATTCAGAGACCACACTCTTGACGTAAAATAGTTAAAGATTTGGTCCTACTATAGTTACATACTTACAGCTTGTTCATTTCTCATTCCTACATATTTTAGTCCAACCGCTTGGGCTGCAATTGCGATTTCAGTGACTGGAATACCAACAATGCCAAACATGTATTCAATATTCTAAAAGAAAAATGTTAAGAAATCAGAACTGTTTCCAAAAGACAGCTTTAATAAGCACATACCAAACATAATCATGCCAACTACACAAGCAGTCTAAAAGTAAGTTCTAACAGATATACATTCACACAGATGTTCACAGGCCACTGTGGGAACACATGAATCTACGATACATACAATGCCAGCTGATGTCTGCAGCTCAGTCCTGTGCAGTTGTAAAAGCACTGGGTTTTGGTGGCCTACAAGCAGTGGAACAACTGTTCAGCCCAGATCCCCAGTTAATACATACTTTGTGCTTTTTTACTGACCACTTCTTACTTGGGAGTCTCTGCTACACCATTTTCCTCCTTCCTCCATCTCCTCTGGGAACCCCTTGCTGTGTTTCATGTTTTCACAGAAAATTAACACCAAAAAGGCCCCAGGAAACAACTACAGCACCTTGCACAAAGAAGCTTTCAGACAGAGACTGTGCTTATTTTTGTTACAACTGAACTACCTTGTCATGTGTGACAGGCCAAACAAAAGGTCCTTTGTCGAGACCATTAGCAGTTCAGCACCATCCCAAGTTTAGAGACAAAAGGGAATTCTGATAACTGTGAAGGTGGAGCAGCAGGCACATAAAGCTGCCACACGTACAGCCGCACATTACAGTCACCTTTGCTCGATGGGAACAGGGATCTTGAGCTCGGGAGGGGACAAGCTCCTAAGAAGCCAAAGCTAAGCGAAAGGCTGGAGAGAGCCGCACGAGGACAACGCCACACGGCTGCCCAGGGACACGGCGGGAAGGGGCAGGCCGCTCTCGGGCGGGGCTCGCTTATCGGGCTCTGCGGCGGGACCTCCCTCCTCCCCGCACAGCGGCAGGGCAAACTCTTCCCACCGGCCCCGGGAGAACAGCAGCGGCGCTCAGGGTGAGTCCGGCCGCGCACATTCACTTCCCTCCAGCCCCGCTGTGCCGGCGGGAGCTGTCCCTGCCTTCTTGCCATAGAAATCCTGCTTGCCGGTCTACCCCTGCCCTCTTACTTGAGCCTTGAGGGACTCGGCGATGAGCTGAGCACCGCTAACGGCTTCCTCCCGCACACCGCCCGCGGAAGCCATGCCAGCTGCGCGCAACACCAGGAGCCACTGGGAATAGCGCCGGGACCACCGGCAGAAGGTCCGGTGCCATTGACTGGCACCTCCCTCAGCCAATGAGGCAGCAGATAGGGCGGGCCTGGCCAATGAGGCAGCGGAAGGGGCGGGCCCGAGGGTGCGCGAATATCCACCTCTGACCGCGGGGGCCAGGGCGGAGGCTGGGGAGCTTTCTATTGCCTAGAGCGGGCAGCCAATCAGAGGCCGCGAGCTGCCGCCACCCTCACGCAGGCTTGGGCACCGCGGGTGCGGAGCGCCGAGCAGCCGCCAGGGGGCGCGGCGGGGCGGGGCGGTGGTTCTGAGGGGCTGGAGCGGGGAATGGTGGGCACTGAGCGGTCAGCCCCAAACCGGGAGGAACGGGAACGGGAACGGGAACGGGAACGGGTGGTCGGGTTCGCCGCCCGGCCCAGGGTCTGCCACGGTTGGCGTGCGGCAGCGCGACCTCGAGGCCCGTGGGAGCAGCAGGGCCAAGCGCGTTTGTAAGTAGGGCAGCGGCCTCTGCAGCGTGACCCTGAAGCTTTCTGGAGCTGGTTGGAGATCGCTGGCACAAAGCGGGGCAAAGTACAGGCTGCTTCAGGTGGAGGAACCCGCTGCCAGCGTTTTTGAGGAGAAGCGGGAGCATAGTGTGAGGCACTTCTCTGAAGTCACAGAATCACAGAATGATTTGGGTTGGAAGGGACCTTAAAGATCATCTAGTTGCAAGCCCTCTGCCATGGGCAGGAACACCTTCCACTAGACCTCAAATCGTATCTGAAGGACGGCACCATGCCAAGTGCAGGTGTTGGAGAAGTGACACAGTTCAGAATGTTCTGCCCCACCTGCTGACAGATTGTGCTACCATCTGGAGTTTTTCGGGCTGAACCACTAATAATGGCAGCACTCAGTTATCCTTGCTCATGAAGTTCGGTAACATAGATCTTGTAATTATGAGACAAGGTGTACGTCAGGAATCCCGTGAAATATAGAAAACTTACTGTAAAACATATTTGAGTGGGCAGCATTCTTTAAAAATAGATTGCACTCTGGATAAAAGCACAGTGATATAATGCATTGTACACAGAAGAAACATTTTTCAGAAAAGGAGATACAAGGTACCTGTTTGTATTGAGCTGTGATTCCACTGCAAAAAAATCCCCCCAAACCTCATAAAAAAAGACTATATACAAAAACATATTTATGCAGGGGACATTGATTTATTGGTTTCAATATACCAGAATGACAGCAACATCATGGATATCACTAAAAAAAAAATACAAATTTCCATAGCCATTTTTAAATTTATTTATTTTTTTTTACTAATAATTGTTAATGTTAGTATAGCTTAACAGGCATCATTCACTTAAGAGGACCCAGACTAATGTGCTACTTCTGTTTTTCAGTCTGTTGGATTCTTGCAAGTACAAAAGTGCTCAGAAGCAGGGTATGTATTGTTTTGCACTGTGTATACATCTGTGTATGGTGAGAGTTGACAAACTTGTAAGTTTCCAAAGTTGTTCAAAAGTGAATGATTGAATGCTTTGCTTCACAATGTACTGTGATTAGTTGATTCTGGAAAACTGAATAGGAAGACAGTCTGCACCGGGACTGGGGGAAATTGTCTGAGTTGACATCCAAACTTAAACACCAGTCTTTCTACCTTTTGTATAGAACTGTAACTAGAATACCGTGACTGCCTGACAGTATACTGTGTCGAAGTACTCATGTTTGAATGAAATCACTCTACTGAAACATGTCTGCCAGGCAAAAGACCACATAGGTCACAAGAAAGGGACAGAAAAATACAAAATTGTAAAGCATTTCAGTTCATGCAAATTTCTTTTAAAGTCGTGGCTCAGGTGAGGTGACAGCTCTGTAGACATTAAGCAAATAAACTTCTTTTCAAGGAAAGGATTTATTAGTGTAGAATTTTGCATTGCAGAAACCAGCAAAAGCCACCAGACTCTGGCTGAGACTTATTTGGAGCCTCAACAGTCTGTAAGGGCTGAGGAAACCCTGATGGTATCCTAATTTTGGCTGGAAAGGTTACTGTCTCCAGGCTCAGACTCTGGGCTCGTCACAGCTCTCCTTGTTAGAAGCAGCCCATTAGATAGAGGGGTTCTGTTATTTAAGCTGTCAACTAAGGGAAAGGCAATCGGGAGCACTCATGTAAGTGCTCAGACACCATCAGTAGTACTAGCAGTAGTCACTACCAAGGGTAAGGACCCAGAGGAATTATTTTAGTTGGCTCAGATTCAGCCAGTTGGGACTGTGAGTTGGATGTTCACTGCCAAACCTCCTGTGCGTCTAAACAAGGAAGGGGGTTCAGGGTAGTACTTTGGGTGTTTCAAGCCACTAGAAAATAAGACATGGTGAGGGAAAAAAAGAAAAAGAGAATTCTTCAAGCACATCTGTAAAACAGATTTTGTAGAAGCCCATTAACTGCTAATTCTTTATGTTGGTGTTTTCAGCTTAGAAGGCCAAAGGCTAATTTTGTAACCTGTAGTGGTTCCAGCCTGTGATCTGAAACTCACCAACTCTTGCCATCACTAGTAATGATGAATTCTAATTACATCTTAGTTGACAACTTAATTGAGGAACAGCTGACTAGAACCCATTCCTGTCCTAAATAGGTGTTTTGACTCTAAAGGGATGACAGAAATAGAAAGGAGTTTTGTCAGTGGAGTGCAACACTGTTTATTTTAAGTGGCTTCCTTAACTGTGAGAGGCTTTCTACCTCTCCTTTGCCTCCCAGTGCTACTGCTTTATATCTTAACATGTACTTTGGTATTTCATTTGCAGAGCTAAGCTACACAGGACAAAGTAGGATCCTCTATTCCTGATATCACACCCCCTCCCCCATAAGTACCAAGTGTTTTCCTCAAGATGCAGGAGAGCAAGGGTAGCTTATTGTACATCACTTCTCAAAACTGTTTATATAAATTGAGTAACTTTAATTCATGTTGACAGAGATGGCAAGGCTTTATTCTGTTTTTGTTGTGCTTCAGGTAACTTTAAATTTACTCTTGAAGGTCTGTGTATATTGACACTTTGCTGAAAATGCTTTTGAACAGGACACAGTTATTTAAAGTACCAACACAGATTTAAGGTTTAGAAACAATACGCCTGTGGTCAGTTAGGAATTTAAAAACAACACACTCAGTTCAAATGCTGCTGAGAGTCTCAGTTACAGTCCATATTTAATAGTAAACTTTAATTCCTGGCATGATTTGTTGATTAAGCTCTGTCCACCCCACCTGTTTGGGTTTTTTTTCACTCTAGATTTCTGGCATGCACCATGGTGGATCTGTGCTGGAAGCTGTTCATCTGCTTCTTTTGCTGTCAAGTTGTCTCAGGAAGAGTTAAGAGGGAGGGGCATTATATTGCTGCTGTGTATGAACATGAGTCCATACTGAGTCCTAACCCAACAGCCCTGGTTGATCGACAGTCTGCACTGGAGCTCATGGGCAGGAACCTAGACATCTATGAACAGCAAGCAGTGGCTGCTGCAAGACAGGTATGCCACAGCTTAGTAGCAATTGCATGTGTCCTGTGTTTATGTAGAGTAAGTGCTGTTTGAGGATAATCTTTCACATTTGTGTTCCCAGGCAACTAAAGCCATATTTATATACATAACTACGGTCTGGTTTTTCAGACATTCTGACCTGCCAGCAGCTCTGAAAAAAATCAGGCCAATTAGCAGCTTGCCTGGCTTGAGTTATTCCAAGCTTGGAAAAACATGCCTATAGTTATTTAGTATAGGGGAATTAATTTTCTATTTTGGTCTGAATACCCAGCTACTCTGTTTTCCTAAATGGAATGTTTTTATTGAAAGATTGTCTTACAGGCAGCTGTCTTTGGGCTTGATTTTATTCCAGTGCTCTCAATGGAAATTCCTGAATGTTTCTAAAAGCTAAAGAAGTTAAATGCTTTGGAACTTAATGTTCCACCATTAACAACTTTGTGGAAGTAAAGTTTTCCATTCCTTTCTCCTGCCCTCCATGGAATGGTTCTCAGTCTAAATAGAGGAGAGAGATGAGTATTTCTGGCTGTTCTTATATACAGCTTCCTTTCCTTCCCTCCCCAAGAAAATCCAAAGCTGGTTCTGGTCAGAGGAAGCAGAGAAGAACTGACTTGCAAGTTTCACACAAGTGTTGTTCTGGAACAGAAGAATTACCATTTTTATACAATTTGAAAACATTAATTTCCATTATATATGTATTTTTTTTTTTTAGATGTTCAGGTGACTGGGCATCACAGTCCAGAAGCATAATAGTTATGCAGTATGGCATCCAGGACACATAAATTATCCCAAAGCCATAGCACATTTGATCTGACTTTTGAAAAGTCACAGGAAAGTCAGTGTCTGATGCTGTGTCTGATATAAGAGGAATTCACCCCATTTTTAGGAACAGTTCAGATCTCCCTGAACTTCAGGTAGAGCCAGCCTAGCTCTGGCATGGCTACGTTTCTACCAGAATCATAGACTCTTAAAATGGTTTGGGATGGAAGAGACCCTAAGGGTCATCTCATTCCAACCCCCCTGCTATGGGCAGGGACATCTTCCACTAGACCAGGCTGCTCAAAGCTCTATCAAACCACAGTCAAGCTGTTTCTGGAATCAGTACTCCCAGTACTCTATCCAACCCTATATACCTAATCAAAGTGTATAGACTGGATTAAATGATGATGCTTGCACCTTTGACGTGGGTACAGCACCTTTGACAAAGTTCATGTGCTAATAGTGTAATTCTGAAAAGCAAATGCAGGCAAATTTTAACATCATTAGTTTCTAACATCATTAGTTTTTAACCTGAATGATGTCATTTTCATGATTCATATCGATGGAGAACGTAGAAAGAATTGCACCCCACCTATACCACCCAAGGAGACCTTTCGCTGTGCTTTTTGCAGCCGGATTTGCCTATCTCACATTGGCCTTTTTAGTCATCAGAGCGCTTGTAGTAAGTGTGGGTAAAGCCCTTCCCAAATCTTTGTTCGTGAAGTCAAGCCATGATGATGGT